TTCGGATAAACAAAACCGTCCTCCGTCTTCAATACTGTGAATCTTCCGGAATACCGTGCTGTAGTTCAAACACTCTGAAGACTGCAAATCTTCAGAAACCTGCTCTACGGTACACTCATTTTAAATGTCCTCACTCGTGCCCTAGACCGAGGTCGTCATCTCTCTCCGATTCTAAAAGCATTGCTGGAGAAGATATAGCTACAGAGAGTTCGTCATCAAGCCCATGTAGCTCACGTAGCTCTTCTCCGCAATGTGGATATTCGAAGAAAAATCAATCGTGAGATTTTAAACTTTTGCCTCTATCCATATTCAGATTCTCTCCGGCAAAGCGAGATTATCGCAAGACCAGCATGGATTCTAAACGACATGCACGTCGAGAATCACGTGCTTCCCGGTCGAGTAACCTTCGTGGATTACGAATTACACAGTTACCTCTGCGGTCTTCGGATACGAATCTTCGTGAGGGCCTCTTCCACGAATACAAAAAACATGGGAAGATTACTTCGATTGTAGTGAAGGGTTCTGGTCCGAGTCGGTCTGCCCACATTACGTTTAAGCTAGCTGAAGACGCCGAAAAAGCCTATGAACATTCAAAAAGCAAGGTCTTTTTCGGAGTTGCAGTACGATCTGAACTGGTGGATGGTCTAGGTAAGACGGAAGTTTACTAATAGTCGTATTCTTCAGATTTGGAGGACCCTGATCTGTGCCCACCGGAACACGCCATGGATGAATACCACCCCAAAGCCACCAAAACTCTTTTCGTTGGCAATCTCTGTTCGGCATCCGTTACGCAGGAGGACCTCCGGAGAGTGTTTCAGGTTTACGGAGACATAATTGTAAGTCAGTTCTTGATAACTAATCTTGCCTCCAGGAAATCGATATCAAAACACAGACCAATCAACCCGGGACATCATACGCATTTGTTCAATACTGTGATATTAAAAGTGTCGTCAGAGCCCTATGCGACCAAGAAAACGTACGGATCTCAGGGAAACAAGTCAAGTTAGGTTTTGGGAAGAGTCAGCCCTCTAACGTCGTGTGGCTGGACAACCTATCTCTTAGCACGACTGAAACATTTCTGGTCCGTCAGTTTGGTCGATACGGTCGTCTTAATCACGTCGTCCTCGACAGGAAACTACTTCGTGCACTTCTTTACTTTGATACAATTGAGGCTGCACAACGAGCTTTAAACGAGACGCGGAACCGGACATTCATAGGCAAAAAGGTTCAGATCGACTACGCAACCTACGAGTGTCAAGTGGCCTTCATGCGAAAAATGGCCAAAGGTGGCGGATTAAGCAGCTTTTATGGAAACTACAGGTAACCCACAAGATTTTTTATTACACCGTTATAGGGAAAAAATCCAGGAAATTCTTGCTGCTTGCTGGCCTACATATGGAAATGTCTTTCAACTTATGGACGATAGCCGAAGGTCGGTCATTTTTACTTGCTGTTTCTTTATTAAGTTTTACCTACTTCAATTTGTTTGTGTATAATGTAGCAATAATAATGATATCAGAGTAATGCTATCCTGTGCCAATTCAATGTCGTCTAACCGACTATAGGGGAATTTACCTACCAATTACAGCAATGGTGCCTTCCCAGTTACTTACTTACTTACTTGATGCTAAGAAGCTAGGTTAATTCTACATAAGTCCATTCCTTTAAAAAAATACGGTCTTCTTCAACACCCGCCCATATTGCACGTTATTTGAAGTGTTTTGTCATACTCTAAAAAAGCGGCTGTTCGATGAAAAATATCTTCTCTGATCTTTTCAGTAGTAACGGAGGAAATACCAGACGCCTGAAGGAGTCCATTCCACCTGTAAATATACCGGATGGTTCTTTGTTGACCTCCTCACGGTCAAGGTTTTCTAATTCACGATCGCGTCATTCGA